ATATGTTTGTTACTCCCCGCCACCGCCCTAGCGGTGTGTGCCCTCGCGCTGTTGGGAAACTGTAGCCACTTGTCGCATGGCAGGCTCTGCCAGCCCACCTGGGGACCGACAACCATCTCTGCCAGGCTAGCAGCTGCGCTGCAAACATCTTAGAAACATCTTAGGAATAAAACTAGTAGTACTTTTTTAAATGACTATATATATCCTTTTATTACTGTTATTATTAACCAATTGTTATTGTTTATGCTTTAATAAAAGACTTATTTAAAATATAGACACAATGGGGGCTTTGATCATTTGAAAATTGAAAGCATTTTTAAAACACTGACTCAAATTACAAAAAATTGAGGGATTTAAGCATTCATCAGAGTGACCTAAACATACACTGAGTGTGAAGTTTTCTAGATCTTAAGTACAGAGCAATCTATTCTAAAAGGAGCCTGATCTGAAGGGATTTATTTTATTTATTTTATTTTTTGAGAGAAAGCAAGTGGACAGCACATGGAATGGACTTGGCAGGGGGTTGGGTGAGGAAAAGAAAAATAATTCCAGTTCAATGGTGTAGATCATATTTTCGACATGATCATGGAAAAATTTCCCAAAGTTGAGAACAGACACATTCAAACAGATAGAAGAAGCACACAAAACTCGGAATAGACAAGACCAAAAAAGAGACAATCACAAAATAGTATATGTAAAATACTAAATATATAAAACAAAGTGAGGAGCCTGATAACTGCAAAATTAAAACCACAGGTCAAATACAAAAGAAAGCCTGTAACATTAATAGGTAATTTCTCAATGGAAACTATAAAAGTCGAAAGAGCCTGCTGCAATGTATGTCATATTCTAAAAGACAATGAATGCCAACCTAGAGGATTGTTTCCAGAAAACCTATCTGAATAACTGAAAGTGAAAACAACTATCCTCCTTCTTATGTGTCTGTAAGTCCAAGATCAGGTGCCTCAATGGTACACCACAGTTTTGCATGTTCCTTTCCTGTATGTACCTATTTAATTTTTTATATTATTTGCTTGAATAGCCCAATTCGTCAGTCTTTACTTTAAGTAATGATATTCTATCATCTTCTCCATACATTCTGCTTATTCTTCCCCTGAGTTTTGGCTAGTTTTTCAATTCTATCTTTTTTTCCCCTGGAATTTCCTAAAGGAAATTAAAATGTTTCTTTTTCTTCCTGAACATAGCTTTCAAATTCTGAATTGTCTTCATAATTTTATTTTCAATGTGTATGTATATATGTGTATATATATATTAGACATTGTAGTAATAAGGGTGGTGGGGCTGTGTTCGCAGCACCCCGGCCGCCTGCTCGGCTAGCTTATGCCCCGAAATAATTACACGGACCTTGTATCCTTTTAATCACTGCTTGGCCCATTCTCTTCTAGGCTAATTCTCACATATTAATTTAGCCCATTTCTAATCATCTGTGTGTAGCACCCCAAGGTGCGCTTACCGGGAAGATTCTAGCCTATGTCCATCCTGGGTCGGAGCTTCATCCTGGGAGCGGGGCATGGTGTCTCTCTCAGGCGTCTGCTCCTGAGAGGAGAGCTGTCGAGACTGACCTCACTTCCTCTTCCTCCCAGAGTCCTGTTCTGCCTACTCCTCCCACCTATCTTTCAAACAATAAAATGGGCCAAGGCAGTTCCTTTATTGGCCAATGACCTTCCTCCATCATTTCCCCTTTTTCGGTTTAAACAAAAAAAAAAGGCTTTAACATAGCAAAATTACATATAACAAAACAGTTACCAAGTAAAAGTTACAATAATCTTTATCATAACTAAGGAAAACTATAACTAACTATTCTTAACTCCATCAAAGACTCCAGAAAGATATAATATTACCTAAGTAAACAAGAACTAAGAAACTTCAAACTCTAGAAATGACAAAGACATCTCGCTGCCTGGACAGTCACCCAAAGTTCTTTTGTACCGTTGGGGCATCCATCTTCAGCCTTCAGGCCCATGGTATCCAGCAGACATTTCCATAAAGCAGGAAAATTCAAAGTCAGTTCAGTCACTATCTGTTGTGTCCTGCAGAATGTCTCGCAGACTCTTTCAAAATGAATCAGGAACCCCAAAAGATCATCTCACCTTAGGTAAGTTCAGTAGTCCTCTCTCTGCGGGTTCTCTGTGTCCAGTTTATGCAATAGTCCAGGCAAGAGCAGTTTCTTGCCCAAATGGCTATCAAACTCCATAAGGTACCTCTTCGATGCCCATCTTCCTCTTGAAGTACATTGGTACTGCCAGGAGCAGAGTGTCTCATTGTCATGAAAAGTCCTCAGTTATTAAAACATTTAAAATGCCATATTCTACAATCTTTGAAAGATATGAAGAATGCCTATCTAAAATATATCTACACACATCTAGAAAATCTTAACTAACATGACTACAAACTTGACTATTATGATTATCTATTAATTACCTATATACATTACATTTTTAAATGAACTACACAATCACAATACCTTAATCGAGATCAGAAATACATATACATATAACAAAATTGACCTTAAATTTCTATCAATAAAGCAAAATCTATACTAATGCAAATTATTCATATCTATATCATATCCCCCTTTAAATGTAAAAGAACATTTATAAACAATATTTGGGAACATGGGTGCAGTTTTTTCTCTCCAAACTGCTTCCTGCTGAATGGGGGCATCGTTAATTAGGTCTTTCATGGTATAACCTGTGTGCTAGTTTCATCTCAGTTGGCAGTTGAGCAAAGCAATTTTCTGAAGATGTTCACAACCCTTCAGGAGGGCGTGGTCCATCATACCAAATCGGAATAGAAGAAATGAACGGCATCTCATCCTCTGTGAAAACAAAATAAAAAACTCCTTTCCAAAGCATCATGTCCTTAGATCCAAATTTCAAAGTCAAGGCATCAAAATATCTATGTTGGATTAGTTCAGCAGCATTTATAAATAAATATCTTTTAGCAGCTGTTGCTCCTTCCTCAGCATTCAAACAATTTAAAGAGAGCATAATACCATACAGTATCAAAATTCTCTGTGTATTTTCCATCTTTGTTCGTTTTATTTTAACCTCTATTTTGTTTATATTTACTTTTAACTTTTTGCTTTTTGAGATAGGTTCTCTGTATCTTTGACCTGAAGTAACTCTGTAGACCAGGCTGTCCTTGAACTCTCAGAGATCTGCCTGTCTCTGCCTCCCAGGCATTGGGATTAAAGGCCTGTGCTACCACACCTTGAAGTCACAGAGGTCTATCTCCCTCTGTCTACCAAGTGTTGGGATTAAAGGTGTGTACCACACACAACAACTATCTTCCATTTTTTTTTGTTACTTAAGAACTTTAAATTTTAGTCTGCGTATATTTTTAACACACTTCAAACCATTTAGAAATTTTCTTTGTCTTTGAATCTCTCTTTACTGTATATCTCTCTTTTTCTGACCACACGAGCCTTTAATTTACCAAGCAATCTCAGTAGGACTAAAGGCATGGCTTTGCCAGCTAGATCCAGTCCATTCCTTAGCTTTCCATCCTCATGGCGGATATACAGGCTGTAGCCATGTTTACTGCAACAATTGTATGACATTTCAAGGTCCCTGCCAGCAAGCGAGCTTCAGCAGCCTGTGCTTGCAAACCGCACGAACTGCCTGCATAAAAGAGTCAGAGTTTGCCCTGGCAGGACAGCCCAGAAAGCCGGCATTTTTAAACTGTGCAGCTTTTTTCCTGCTAAGGCTGATAACCAAAAAGCATGCGTTCAGCTTTTCGTCAACACCGTTTAAGTGTTTCGTGGCAGGACCTCTTAATGAGCTGCAGGCTTTGCAGCTAAAGCTGAGTCAGGAAGCCTCTCTTAGATGAAAGCGCATGCTTGCCTCTAACAAGCAAAGCAGACCCGAGAACACAGCGAGTCTAGTTGCCATCAAACAAATCATAGCACTTTACTCCAAATGCTCTATTCAAAAGCTCTGTCTCCCGCAGGAGCCAGACAGAGATCGCAATGGTGGCACAGCCCCAGGAAGTCGCGCTTTAAAATGACACAGCGTTTTTTCTGCTACTGTTGCTGAATCAGGAAATCTCTCTACAGCACGCCACCAACAAACAGCATAAATCTGTGTTTAACTCTCTCTCCCTTATTTTTAAGCCTTCTCAGGTTTTTTTAAGTGGGTTTAGTCCATCACGTGGGGCGCCATTGGGTGCCAAAATGTAGCGGCGTAAACGAATGCAGACAGATTGTAAAAATATATATAGTTTTAATGTAGAAATAGACTTACAGAACCACCATTCCCTTGGAGACCAGGAAAGCAGAAGAGACAGCTGGGAGCACTCTCGCCAAATTTATAGGCAGACAATAGCCCGAGGCGAACACGCCCCTTAAGGGGCGGGACTTATCCCTACAAGACATAACTCAGGCACTATTTTCTTCATGCTACTTGAGATATTTCTTAATCTCTTCTTTAAGCTAATCAAATTCCTTGATAAAATTTTATGTTTTAAAAGATTTTTTTCAGACCTGACATTCATTCTGATTGCAAAACATTTCTGCAAAACTAGTGGATTTGGCATGGCAGGGCCATACTGTTGGAACTGTATAATTATGATTTTGCAGTGAGACCAGGGAATGTAGATTTTTTTCAATGGATTTATGTCTAATGTTAGATTCTAGGGTATCTTAGAGTTGTCCCAGTGCACAGGATGTCTTAAGGTTGCGATTATGCAGGTCATCTAGGGTCCATGGGACTCATCAGTCTGTGTGGGCATAGAGGATGTATGATCTGAGCTAAGTCTGAAGGTTGGACATGGTATGTCAGGGTGGGGTCAGATGTATTTGTCGAGTGAGCTCCATTATTGATTATCACCTGAGGTGTGTACTTATTAGTCAACACTTGGGAAGGCTAAAAACCTTAATGTAAATAAAAATTAAGTAAGCGGTATCATGAATATTGTAGAACCATGCTGAAATAAATAAATCCCAAATCACCAATTCAAACAACTGAGAGGGATTAATATGCAAATATTGAGATTTATTTAATTTTTAAAAAGAAACCAAGGTCAATGGAGTCATTTGAAAAAGCAAATTCTGTTCATGAACTTACATTTTGAAAGGGTACATGAAATACCTAACAATTAAAGGCAAATTTAAGTTCAGAATTTGAAATTCTAGTTCTGGGGAATGTGAAGAGGAGTAAATACTGAGAAGAAATCAAAGAGAGCTAATTCACATTTGTTTTTGGAGATAGTTAGCTAGGTAGTGCTAGGAAAGAGGACTAAAAGCTACAGTGGAAGTATATGCTGTTTCTTTACTTCATTGTGTTCTGGGAACGTGATTATTGCTCCCAAGACAGAGTTTTAGTGACCTTAGTCATACAGACAAACTACATATGATCTTGGGTTTGAGTGAATTGCTTAAATTCATCACAGAATTCAGAGGTCAAGTCCCAAAGGTGTTACTGATTTTGTTATTTTAAAATATTTGGTTATGGATTATTTCTGCTAAATGAGATGATATAGAAAAAATGAATCTTTACTGTTTGGAATCATTTGAGTGTATTATACCTAGAATTTCCTGGTGAACTGTGAGAAGACTAAGGTGGGGAGGAGGTTTTCCTGCACATGGCCCTGGTCTCGTGCACTAGAAATTTAATGAATTTTGCCTTCACAGAAGCATGTAGCTTTGCAGTTTTCAACAGTCAGCGGATGGTGACAGGTTACCGATGCTTTCAAAGATGGACAGTTAGAATAGTTATCTTCATAGTAACACCTGTTTGCTGAAAAAAAAGAATAGAGATATTCATTACTTTGTTATTATTTTCCTCTACCAACAGTGACAAAATAAAACATGAATGTGGAGAAAGGAATTGAGTAAATGGATGAATTTCCATTAAACTGAGGCTTTGTGAGATGCCTTTTAGTAGAGTTGATCTATTTCTTCACTCAAGAAAGGCTTAAGAAAACTAACTTGAGTGATTCTTTGAGGAGCTGAGCTATTGAGAGTTGAGAAAGATGGCTCAGCAACTAGAAGTCTTTGTTCTTTTTGCAGAGAAACTGGTTTTGATTTTCAGCATCTACATGGTAGCTTACGGCCACCTGTAATTTCAGCTCCATGGAACCAAGTGTCCTCTTCTGTCCTTCATAATCATGGGGCCCAAATGTAGTATACATAAATATATTCACACATGTACACACAAATATTTATAAATATGAAATAAAGAGAAATATTTTAAAAAGAAACTCATTATTTAAAATGTCAGTCATTATGCAAGTAATTTTTAAACTTAAATACAGCTAATATTTAAACTCTATATTCTCAGCAAAACAAGTTTAATTAATATGATTTAAGCCACTGTGTCTATTAACCTCTTTATGTGAAAATACGGAAATGTATTATTAATATACCTACTTCCTCTCTCTGTAACCCATTCTCATAATATTTGCACTAGTAACACAAAACTGACTTGTTCTGAATCTATATCATTGAAGAACAAAAGCAATTTACATAATCGGTCCTTTGACTCAGCACACAATCACACACAGATGCCATGGCATACATGCATATTCCTATACATATACAGAGAGAAATAAGTATACATTCACAAATAAATAAAAATGTAACACAAAATTCAAAGGATGATCTGGAGGACCTTAGGAATTTTTTGTGTTAAGTTTCTTGGTAGGCAAAGAATTGTAGTATCTGTCTTCTTTCTCTGGCCTGACCTGTGTTCTATTACCTCAACTACTTAGATCTGTATTGCTTTCTCTTCTTAAAATGCTAAACTTAAGATCTTATTAACCTAGAGAATAAGAAAATTCACTTTAAATTTTATTGAATTACATCCACAGAAATATTTCTCTAGACTCCAATAGCAATAATATCAATACTGATACAAGTATGCAATGGTTTTAGGTCTCTCTGTAGACTACATAATGTAACATGTTTTTCAATGGCAAAAGTACACACACCTTAAACAAAGGAAAATTTGTAATTCAAGTGAATGATGTTAAGTACATTTTTGCCTCTTGAACATAAGGCCATGCTATGAAATCTTAAAACAGATTGTCATTTTATGTTGTTATATTTGTATATTAATAACACTTACTGCACATTCCTTCGTCACAGTCATTAGGACAACTGCCACATCGGTCTCCTACTGTGTATGGGGTGTATAGCCTGTTCAGCAAATTACCACTGAAATTGAAAAGTAAATATGAAATATTTTTATTTTTTCTCTGTATACTCTAATGCTTGCATATCACACACACACACACACACACACATATATATATATATACACAAACATATATATGGATTGCTATTAAAAGCTTTAGCTACGCCATATAAAAATCTAACATTTTCTAAGAGTATTCAGATATAGATGTGAAATAAGGGGATAATTAACACCTTCACTCTTCAACCATATTCTATTAATGTGAGCAATTGCAATACGATAAATAAGAATCTAAAAGTTTAGAAACACTTTAATGTAGAAACATTCTCTTCATTTCCTCATGAACCTGGAAAATTCCTAAGGCAGTGGAGCACAGGATGCTGCTCAGGTATAAAAGATGCTTCCTATAGAGACAATTAGAAAAAGGCTATGATTCCTGATTCCTAGAGTATGGGAGAGGTCCCCATGATGATGTGGTGAGGTTCAAGAATTTAAGCACAGTAATGTTTGGGATTTTCTGGGGGTAGCATGTGGGTATGAGACTTTTATGCTTATAAAAACTGAGAATGTTAATTAGAAAAACACTTTATAATAACCGTCTAAAAAGTGCAATACTCTGATAGTGACAGCCTGTGCCTCGGGAGGATCGTCACTTCACTGACTGGCATATGAAAATAGAGGAGTGAGATTCTCCATTGCGCTAAGGGTGGCAGGGGTGTGCACACATTCTCCAAGGACTTGCAGCAGGCCCTTTCTTCTGTATATTGCTCTATGTGTTTGAGCAATCTTAAAATGAAAAGTCATAAAGTGTTGTACAAGTTCTGCCACGTGCTTCTCTTCATTATTCATCTGATCCTTCTAGGTGCCAGACTCCAGGTGCCTCTCATTTGGACCAGACAGCTGGTAGAGTGCAATGGCTTCTTTCTTTGTATTTTTCATTAGGCCAAAAAAAAAAAACATTCTTGAAAATTCTTAGACGACTTTCCTTTTCAACTGAGATGCCACACCATCTGTGTCACCCACAGACAGAGTAGAAATGAATCACTTAAAAGGCTTGATTTGAAAAGATTCTCAGACACGTGTTACATAAGTTTCTTGTATTGAGAAGATACAAATAGACGCAGAGAGATGTCTCAGCAGTTAAGAGAGCACATGCCTCTTTTAGAAGACTTGGGTTTGGTACCCAGCACACACTTCAGGTGATGTACAACTGTTTGTAATGCACTCCCAGGGGATTTGATGCCTCTGGTCTCCATAAGCATCTGCACCTATGGGCACATACTACACAAGGACAAACATACATGCAGATGTAATTTAAAAAAAATACTTTTGGTTTGTCGAGACAGTTTTTTCTGTAGCTTTAGAGCCTTTCCTGGAACTAGCTCTTGTAGACCAGGCTGGCCTCGAATTCACAGAGATCCGCCTGCTTCTGCCTCCCGAGCGCTGGGATTAAAGGCGTGAGCCACCACCACCCAGCTAATTAAGAAAAATTAGGTTAACATACAGATTATGAACATATATTTGTTTTTTCATGGGATTTTTTTTAAAGAACTCAAACATCCATTACAGAAGGGAAGTGAATTTCTGTCTTTAAAATTAAGTTCTACTAAACATGATTTTCAGAATTTTTAGTAAATTCTGAGGAGAAAAGAATTAAGATTTTAGATTTCTTAACTGTTGGAAATATATTAAAGACTTCTGAAAGAGCCTTTGAAGTCTAAGATTTAATAAATTCTTACAGGTAGAAGCAAGAAGCATGGGGCTAGAAAGAAGGTTCAGTGGTTAAGAAATTATGCTGTTCCTTTGGAGGATACACGTTTGATCCCAAACAACCATATCAATTAGGTCATAATCACTTTTAACTTCAGGTCTATCGGATTTAATACACTTTTCTGGTCTTTGTGGGGTACTGTGCATATGCATAAACAAAGCAACAAAAATTAAGTTTGGAAAAATAAGAACTAGGCCAGTCATTACTACGATTTTGCAAAAAGATAACACTCTTGGTAATTTTTTTCGATGGCAGCTTACATAGCACCATTTAATACTATGAAAGCTAGTCTGCAGGAAGGAAACTTCCAGGTGAATTCCAGCTGGATGCTTCCAACTCCTGTGTCTGAAGTTGATGTGTTTTTAACAATAGACTTATTTTCAAGTTCAGGGAGGCAACCAAGGGTGACAGCCAAAGGCTATATAGAAAGGAAGATCTAGTTTTCTTCAGGGAAAGACTCTTGATCGGGTATCCAGTCCCAAGTTGTCAACCCTAAACACTATCACATAAGAACAACTGTAAATAGACTTGGTGATATTGTGTGTGCACATGTTTTGATGTGTGTGTATGTGTGTGTGTGTACAGATGAAATCATGACTTTTAGAGAAGGTGTGGAGGAGAGGAGAGGAAGATTTGAAGGATGATAGGGAAGTGTGGAAATGATGGAAACATGGCACTCCTATATGAAATTCTCAGAAACAAAGGCAATAAATTATTTATTTTTCCTTTTTTGGATTTTTCAGAAAAGGGTTCTCCGTGGGGCCCTGACTGGTGTTGGATTCACAGAGATCGGACTGCCTTTTCTAAAGGTGTGAAACACTACTGCTGCTCAGCCACTGAATTTTAAAAATTATGACAACTTATATAATCAGGGGTAGGGTCAGCTTAATTAGAAGGATCACATCACTAATCTGCATCATTCACTCATGCTCACCTCTTGTCTAATATTAAAATTTTGCTTTGTAGCCTCCAAACACAGCACAAACTGAAAATTTGAGCTTCATAATCCCTGTATTATGTGTTTAGGAAGCAGCCATCAAGGAGGGAAGAGAAATCATTTCGAAAGGAAAGGAAAAGCTTCTGAGTGTGATTCGTGAAGCTGCTGAGTTGTACATTTCAAAGATTCAGTTAAATAAGTTTCAACTCTAAAGAATATTTAAGGTTTATTTCCCTCTCATGTGTAAAATATGTTTTTAATTTGTTTTGAAACTATGATCATTAAAAAATGTCAAATTGAAGTGGATACTTACGGAGGACAATAGTGACAAACATAGAAGTATTTCAATGGGTTGTCAGGGCACTCCGCGACTCCACATCCAAGTTGGTGAGAAGAATTCCAAACTAGCTATACACCCAGAGACGAAGACAAGGCACATGTCAGAGAGAAAAATAATGTTGAAAAACAAATAGAAAATATAAAATTCAAGCACTGATATTCTACTTGTTTCTAGAATCCTTATAGGCATATTTAAATTATTGAATCAATCTACAGATGTTAAAACAGCCTTAAGGGGATGATGTTGGTCAGCTCGTGTGGCAAAATTATAAGGAAGCACCCAGAGTAATTTATGGAGGCTGACAGTAGCTTCAGCTCCTTCTCAGAGAAGCTGTTCTTTAACATTTTTGACAGTTTCCAAGATGACGAGGATAAAGATGGCTGGCCTGAGGCCAGGAGGCTTCATGGCACAATGAAAAGAATAAAAGAATCTACAGACACCAGAGGACCTTGGTATGATGGGGAATTTCTCTGACGCTGCTTCCAACCCTTCAGGTTTATGAACATAAACAGCCAAAGGGTAACCTGGATATCAAGTCAATTCCTGGTCAGACATCAAACTGACCATGACGCTGTTGCTGACTACCTTGAAGGTACGTACACTGAAGTGTTTTCCAAAAACTAGTGTCCTGTGCCTATAGAGCATTGACCTTGAGAGATGAACCAGAACTTCCTCCCAGCATCACAGAAGAGGTTGTCTAGTTCGGTGCTAAGCTGTGGCCATGAGTATCTTCCTCTCTGTGTGGGCAGGAATAGTGGTTGGCTTGCAAGCCTTGCTGGTCCAAGCCTGGTGGAAGCCTGCTATGCAGTAACAATAAATATGTCCAAGATGTGTATGGTTGGTGCTCCTATGTAGAGATGTGTTCTTGAATTTCCTGGCTCCTATTTGAAACTGTGTTTCAATTCAAGTCTACAGGATCTGATTAGGCCACGAATTTGGAGTTTCCCCTGCTTATACCACATCTGGATATTTTCTCCATGCAGCCAAGCAGGATCAGCACATCACCTTCTCCCCTAGGTTTGACAGACTTTTTTTGAGAGTGGACAGGATAGAGGCATAATCCCGTAATTCTTGCTTAAAGAGCCACTTTGTGATGGGAAAGGGACCAGGGCCTGAGCCTGTAAATCCAGCAGGAAGCCACCTGGCAGGGTTTCTGGTAACAAAACTCCAGGATATACATTTCCCCTTTTAACTCGGGAGCCATACAAAGCTGATGCGCAGCCTTGCCAAAGTCTGTGTAAGTGCCTGAGAACACAAGGCATTACCTTTGTTTGGGGGCTGGAGTCAAGAAATGAGGTTTAAAAAATCAAGTATATTCCCTTACAAAGGTTAGATAAGCCATTGAAAGATGGCAGCTCCAATAGCCAATGACTGTCAAGGCCAATTTATAACCGACCACACAAGATCTTTCCCAAGGGTATGTGGCTGGTGTGCACTCTCCCTATACCCCCTGAAAGTGGGAGACCAGTAGGAAGATAGAAAGTTCAAAGTCAGTCAGAGCTACATAGTGAGACCCTCTCTCAAAGAGAAAATAAAAATTCTCTGCACTGAAATTCTGCTTGCAATCAATCAAGTCATTAAATTTTTTTCCCCTGCCTAGCACTAATAGAAAGTACCTTTTCTTACCTGAGTATAATGTCCAACTGCCGCACCCGGTGTTGTTGGCCCTGAACCAAACTTAAAATTTTTGGATTCATCATACCAGCTTTGGATAGCCTCAGACCATGATGCTGGGTAAGATGCCATGAAGATATTTTCACCACATCTTAAGTCTATGGGGAAAAAATAGGCCACTCATGAAGACAGCAATAGTGAAAAAAGTGGAACACACACACACACACACACACACACACATGAATGGGATCCCTGTTCTTTAAAGTCATCCTTAGCAATTCCTTTTGAATAACATAACAAGCATGATTCAGACCTAATGAACCTTTGGCTGAACAGTAGCCAGAGGTATCAACATGTTTATGCTGAACACCATAAGCACTAAGTAGGAAAGTTTTTTCCTCAGTAGCTTCTCTCTTTGATCTCATTTATTCACATCTTAAATTCTCTATACGTGTGTGTATCCGCACACAAGTGTGTGCACACGCATGTGAGAGAGCCTCATGTAAAATAAATGTAAATTTGTAGTCATAGAGAAGACAAATACTAGCTCCTTCCATTTCTCTACTGTAATCTCCTAGAGATTTTTATATAAACATTTTACATATTTAGGATATTTGTTTTGTGTGAGCATTCTTTGCAATCATTCTTTCAAAACTACAAGTACAAAGCAAACAAAAAGAGAAGGGACTATATTTCTACAGTTTATAGTTAATGTCTTAACTAGGAAATTAAAATTTCTGAACCATATTTTCTTCAGAAAATGGGAGAAAATATCTTTAACCCTAAAAAATAGTTTAGTGGTTTTTCCAAGCTTTGTAAATAAACATTTACTTTAAACTTTAACTGAATATTGTAGTCTTTTAAATAAAATTTTAATCATTGTGTTATTAAATTAAGAATATCTAAGAGGTAAAACCTTGAAAAGAGGTGATTAATTTACTAGATTCAATTTGGAGAAAAAGGTGATCAATTTTAATGGTTCAAGAAATATTTGATCTTATTACCCATTTATTTATTTTGTCATCATTTTACCCTTCCTTATGTGAAGATTATTTAACATAATATATCTTTCAGCTATTCAGAGTGTACAGATAAGATTCTTGATTAAAATATGGAAATTATGATTTCAGAGGCCAGGGAAAATGACTGAGCATGTACGAGCATACCTTACTATTTCGGGAGACTTGAACCCAACACATAGCATCCACACTGGATAACTTACAACTGCCTGTGACAGCAACACTGTATCCACCTGTGACCTGTGAGCATCAGAGGATCTGACACCTTCTTATGGCCTCTAGAAGCACTTTTACATACTTACACACGGGCATAAATACACAGAGACACACTTGCATATAATTTAAAAAAGAGTGAAATAAAAGATTCCAGTTTTAAATTTCCTTTATAAGATCTTAATTAGTAATTATTTTCATCCAGACTTCAGTTTCAGTCTTCAAAACAGAGAAAGCAATGATCCAGACCTTGTTTCACTTGTGATCTGGTCACAAGGAGCAAAGCTGGCATCATGAAAGACAGTTTGTGTAAAATATAAACCATCCAACAAGCACAGAATGGAGCCTTTCAGAGATACTTAACAATTTTTAAAAAGGCAGAGATACTTAACTTTATTAAAAAGAAGAGATACTTAACTTTTTGAAAGGCAGTGTCAGAATAGGCATTTATTTACAATGTTTTTTAAGCATGATATAAAATGGGCTTTTATTCTCTATTTAATTATAAGTAATTTTGAGTAGGCATACTTTCGATTTTTCTGGATTCCTGAGAACTATGTTGATAAGAGCACTTGTTTGCATAGGCCTGTGCATTTACTTGGGCCTCATCGTTCCACATCTAAATAGAAAAAGGAAAGAAATAAGCCATGTGAAAACTCAGACCTCAAAGTCACATGATCTTTGCAGACAGGCTGATATGAGTGCTTTTATCATTGCAAAAAGGTAGGCACCTTCTGACTGTCATCATAATCAATGTATTATATAGGATATATCTAAATTTTTATGTAGCATATATATTACCAACTCTCATTACAACATTAATAAATAAGTTTATTTTTGCATATTTTCCTCCCCCATCTTCCTGATCCTGCTTATCCTCTCATTCATGCCCTCCCACCTTTAACCTTCCTTTGATGTCACACATATTCTATTTAGTTCTTACTGTATCTGCTATAGTCCATGTCTACCCTCTCTTGATCTTCTTGGTAGTTTCATAATCTATGTCCAAAGTTACTTCGAACTTCTATGTGACCCTTTCTGTACCAAATAAATACAAATAGTCTGTCTTCCTAAGGTCATCAAAAATACTAAAATATTTAATGGTCTGATGACTTGCTGAAATCACAACAGGACTTTGAGTGCTTATTGTACTATGAGTAGCACTAACCACGTGGAAGTGCTAGGACTATTTTTACAACCGTAAGAAGGTGCCTCATAAATCCTAGTTTCATTCTTTTCCCTCATTGAATGAATTGAAGAGACACGTGGACTTTGGTTGTTAATCCAGTAAAGTAGACTATTTAGATAAAAGGTCATTGAACCTTAAAGGAGAGGTGTTCTGTCTGAAGATTAAGAGAGAGAAGAACATCTACCAAAATAACATACTGGATTTTCACTACAGACCAAAGTCAAAAGATTTGATTTTTAACTCTGTCACTATAATTGTTGTAGCTCCATAATATCAATGAAATACTGGATGAAAGAAACTTAGTCAATTCTACTCTGATCAAGCACAGCTAAAGACAAAAACTAAGTCCAATCTCTACGTGGATCCTCACATACAGGTAAACATGCTCATAAACTAAGCAATGAATACTTTTGTTTTTGTTAAAAAGAGATGCTAGGATAGAGGCAGACCCTCCTGAATCACACAGGAGAAGCCAAGTGTTATCTGCAGGCTCCAAACATAGCTCTCCAGATGCAGTGTCCAGCTGTGAGTCCTCACCATCTTCAGTATGTCACTACCAGGTAAGTGAAATCTCATTTCAAGGTGTGACAATACAATATCATCTCTAACTGACGGTTTAGTGGTTGACAAATCCTCAAAGACTAGTTTCTAAAGAGAAATAAACAAAAAGTCACGTTAGTGTCTGTTAAAGTTGCACAAAAAGGTGACTAAGTTGGATAAGATAAATGAAGGACTTTGTTAAAAGACTCGTGAAAATGTTAGCCGTTAAACCTTCATAATTAATGTTAAGAAAATCTATGAGATTTTCATAAGAAATACTTTAAACATAATTTTGAGACAATAAATGAATTCATGACATGTCAAAGTAAAAACTTTTCTGACGATACCTACAAATGTCAATATTGACTTAGGAGAGAGCTGTAATGATAGCCATACACAGTAGAGAAACTTAACTCATTCAGACTCAATTATATTGTAGCAAGTAAGTGTTAAGGAAGAAGACACATAATAGATCTTACTAAGCATTAGCCAGGAGTTTGGACGCTTGTGAGATAATGTGTAGGCCCAGACCTAGTACATGTATGCATTCAAAATTATTACAATAAGAGAATTTTATATGTGACAGGTTTTTGTAGTCACTCTCAAGACAGGTTTATCTCATATCCATGTCAATTTGGAGGCAATGAGTTCCTGAAAACAGTTGAATATTTCTGACTTTATGCTTCAGTGAACAGAAATAAGCCAGCTAAGTTAACTCAGATGCTAATATTTAAATTTACATTTTTGTGTCTGTGTGGGACAGGAGAATGTAATGATACTATGTGAGTTGACAGAGATGTAAGAGTCATTTTTTGGTAGAAACATACTCCAAAATGTACTGTCTTATAGGGAAGAGCATGATGTTACAGCATAATTATTGATGGACACACCCTCACATATATTTTATCTTCCTGCTGGGAGAAGTTGTTTCTCCTTCCTACAGTACTTACTCCCACAAAACTCTGCAGACATGGCACCATGGATCTAGCCACACTGCAATGCCAGTGTCTGCTACATGTCCATCTCTCCCTAATATTTTATGTTCTGAAGACACTGATGAGAGCCTCGTGCCAAGAGATCTTTCACAGCCAACGCTCTGTAAGGCAGAAAGGATGTTCATGTTAAAGTTGTTGCTTGAAAATTCTCATGTTTTATTTTAATGTAAAGAAACAACATCGCCAGATGTTTATTGATTAAGGGATTGGCATAATTTTCTAATACATGTATTCGAATTAAGCATACATGTTTGTGTTTGAGTTTATGTAGATGACTGCAATGCAAATGAACGTCTGAAGAGAATACTAGACTTCCTGGAATTGAAGTTAAGGTGGGTGTAAGGAACCTCAGGTGGATGCTGGAAACCAAATGGTCCTCTGCAAGAGTAGTAAATGCTTTTGTCCCCCAAGCTACCTCTCCAGGCCCTCCCCCCAAACATTCCATTTTAACCTGAAAATATACTTAAAGTTGTTTTATTTCTAAAGACAAAATATATAGCTTCTGAGAAAGTCATTATTATTTTCTGCTTGTTATCCTACCTTTCATGGAAGATAAAAATTCCACCAGACAATAAGTGTGCTTATATTTCTTAACAGGCAGTGGTACAGATTAAAAATAAAAACATACTAGAAACACTGAAATGTGAGAAAAATTGTTAGAGGGTTTATACTGGATAGGTGAGAGGACCTAATAATTACAACACCAAAAAGCAAAGCCAAGAGGAACAATAGTAAGTTGACAGCTGGAGAGGAATCAGTTCTTCATGGCAGCTCTCAAAGAAGCCTTCATTCCTAAAAGAGGACTCTGAATATCTCTGCTATTTGGATCTTGACAATTTATAAAGAAGTACCAGTAGACCAAAGAGAGAGGGAGAGAGAAGGGAAAGAGAATAGATGATTCAAAAGTGCCATAAAACACTAATATTTTTTAAGAAGAAACTGGGAATGCAAATAGCTTGAAAGAACACCTAGAAAACAAGTGGTTTCCAGATTGCTAATTTGATTATTGTAACAAAAGACATATAACTTATATTCAAAAAAGAGGTTTAACCAGTTACTGGCACTCCCTACTCTTGAGGAATTCTAATGGTCTCCAGTGCAGAGGCCTAAGAAGTGTATGAAGGCTACAGCAATGCCCAATCCTCCTAATTTTATTAGGTTTCTAACCAAAAGGAGAGTAACTTTTCTGGCACTACACACTCGATCATGAAAGAAGATGACTGAACCACATCTGGGATTACCTAAACATGAGAACAGATTATAAATAATTGCTATTTGCCTCATGTACAAATTTATTGTTTCCATAGTAGAAGTACTTAATATCTCTGGTGTGTTAAGTGTATGTGTGTGCATTGCGATGATCAAACCCAGGGATTTGTGAATTCTGAGCAAGTGTTACTAAGCATCATCGTCTCAATTCTAGCAAACTTTTAAAATTGTAAATGTAGTTATAATTTTCTCAAATACTATCTATGAAAGTTACATACAGAAATGAATAAGTTGAAGCCATGTTAAATTTGAATATAATATCAGTTGTCTATAAGGACCACATTGAAATGGATTAAAGAAAATAATAACAGCTCATGGAACAGAAAATTTAAGAAATCAATCTACAGACATGAAAATTCCAATACAAATATAACCGAAATATCATGTTTAATTATAATTTCTTGAACTCATTAAAATGAAAAAAGTATTTTAAATTAATATCAATATTTCTACTTAAAAACTATAACAAAAATACAATTTAAGTGACATTGATTCAAATTTTATTATATTTGCATCCAGCCCTATCTTTGATAACTACTCTGTGTGATAAATGTATGTATGCCTGTTTCATTCATGTGTACCATGACCTAAACCTCTGTTTACTATTAACTTGTACTTGGGGCTAAAAGGTCATTCGACATAATTTTAAAAATAGTGTCAACTGCTCTAAACTATCAATGAGTACTTTGAGACTTACTCCACAGTCTGGCTTTTAATAGTTTTAAAGAGTGGTCTGACAGCTTCCTAGCTTTCATAGTTGCCTAAAATGTTCTGAGAGGATATTAAACCTTACCCATACCTCATAGGTATATTGAAGAAGGGATAGGGGCAACAGAGCAGCCAGGAACAACAACAATGGGAATGATGTCATGTCTAGAAAACAAAGAGGAGAAAAAGACCAACATTACTATGTTTAGTACAGTGGGTTCTGAGTGATGCAGAATATATGGAGAAAGTAATGGGCTCCATACCCCAGATTTACTACCACTATAGCAAGGAGGACCTACTATTTATATCATCCAAATGTTAATAAAATCAGCTCAAGAGGCCTGAAGCCCCCCACCCCATGCAATAAGGAACAAATCAAAGAGCCTAAACGAAGCAGGCACCTATGATGGCTCTGAGTAATCAGCTTCTCCTCCCTCTGTCACACTCTAATTTATGTAGGTCCTCTCGTGGGATTCTAGGAATTTAGGAATTCTTCTTCTGTTTTTCAGGAGTAGCAAATATCACCTTGACAGAACACTACTATGACATGATTAACCCTTGTTGGATATTTTAAGATATGCCTACTCCATTATATGATGTTTGTTTGTTATTCATTCATTCAAAGTTTTTATTTTGTTGTCTTTTTGAGAAAAGATGTCACTATCTGGCCCAGTGTAGCTTCAAACTAACAAGTTTGCCTGACAGTCTCAAATGCTGAGACATATCTGTACATTACCAAACACAACTCTATCATTTTGGTTAAGTCAAGGGCCTTAGTGTCTTAATACATTTTACATTTGCTATCAAAGTCTGATCAATAATGCCAAGACTGAACCTGCATACCCTAAAGTCTCATCATCATATTTTATATATAATGGTAAATGTATGATAATTTAAAGCCATGTTCAAAAATAGGGAAAACAATTTAAATAATTTGGAATGCATTCTCTTATTAAATGTATTAAGTAAAAACCCACACACACTTGAATGTGTGCCAATTGAAAATATTTGTATAAGCATGCAATTTCAGACATTGGGAGTCCTTAAATGCTCTCTATCTTCTAAGTTGACAAGGGATCTCTCAGGGGTCCCAAAGCTCACTAGTTCAGTTAGGATGGCTAAACAGCTTGCTCTGGGTATTCTCCATCTATGCCTTCTGCCTGCACTGAAACTTTTAGCATGTGGTCACACCATCTGGTTTTAAAATGGATTCTCGTGATTTAACTCCACACCCATGTTTGCATAGCAAGTGCACACTCTACTGAGGTAAATTGCCAGCACCTTTACCTTGCTTTTAATGATTTCTCCTAATGAGTGAGAAAAGTTTTTCTTTCTCTACAATAAATAAAAGTCTATGTAGATAAGATACAGTGCATGAATAGATAATTTTCACGGAATTTTCCAAAGCAGTCTTTACCCTAATCCAGGCACACAAAACAACATAGACTATGTTTGATATCACTTGTTACATGACTCTCTATAAGCTTCCTTTAAAACTCATAAAAACCTAGTAGGTATATACTGTGACTCAATATCCCACTTACACATGAGCAATCTCAGTATTAGAGATTTAATACTGAGGTGTCATGAGAATTCAGGGAACACAGCTGAAACGTAAGCACCATCTCTGTGGCTTCAAAGCCCTAAGCTCTGAGAGACAGAGACTGAGGTGCTTTACAAGATTATGCACACCAGGAAACACGTCAATCAAACCCCACAGAGGTATGTGGGGGTGAATGCATTACAGGAAGAATCACATGATAAATAGTCATATTCTCCTGAGTATTGCCTACAATATTTTCTAAATTCCAAAGAAATGTGTAGTATTCACTTAGCTTTCATTGTCATGTTTCTGTGATGTATGAAGCAGTCAATGCAGAATATAAATTCTACAAGACTGCTAAATGTCCTTATGGACACAATCTGGACAAATGTCATATAAGGACAACAGTCTTGTCAATTCTTGAAAAGTATTCTTTTTATTTCTTTTCATTTTCCAAAAAATAACACCCCTGTGTCCTAAAATCTTCTGGGCAATGGCACTGGATTTCAGAACTGTACCTGATCTACAATACTTGAAATTTCTGACACACATTTCTGCAATTTGCCAGTGCCTCAAGGGTTGCCACAGTACACTCTATTATCCAACAGATCTCAGAATTGACAATAATCATAGCCTTGACTGCTTTTGATACAATGTCAGGAGTTTTGCCAGATTGGAAGGCACTGTAGGTTCAGATGTCAACTTGCTGAGTACATAGTTTAAGCATTTGGGGAAAGGCATCAATATATGCCCTTGGGGATTACAATCTTCTCCAGTGTCATATAATTCCATTTTTATTGACATTAAGTAGTATCATAATATCTTATTATTCTCCAGAAACATTTCTTGTCTGCACTAAACACAAATATCTATGAGGGAAACTGCTTTGTCATATAAGATATACACATATTTTATGCATGTAAAAAACCTACAAGCTACTTGAGTCTATTTACCTATGATCAGAAAAATGAAATGTTTTATTTTTTGCTTGTCTTGAATGTATTTATGAACCAGTTATATATTCTTCTGATGATCACCAATAACACATTTATTTCAAGTTCAGTGCTATAAGGTTGATTTTGCAAATGTAAATTTGTGAGGAAGCTAACTTCTTATCTAAGATCTAATAATACTTGTATCAGTGCACAGAAAATTCATTGCACGTATAAATCATAGTGCATTTTGTTGTCGATATACTTTTTCCTCATTTCTCCCTATTTTGTTACCATTTCTTCACTGACAATATTACAGCAAATGTTAATTCTTCATGACTCATTTTTCCTAATTGTATACCCCAAGAATCTACAGTTTACTTTTTGGCTGTAAAGTAAAATTGGCAAACTGATTCTTTGACTGTACTATATTTATTTTCATTAGTTTTCTAATAAAACTTGTAACTCAGTACACATGATATGCTGAGGAAGCATAATTCAGCAAAAAAAAGCTGTATGGAAGGGAATGAATCTAGATAGGGGATGCTCAAAATCTAGACAGCAATATGCCTTTAGGTGAAATCTAGTTTATTTCAACCAAAATGACTAATGTTTTAGACAATGCCTTCAAAACATACATGCTAGATTTACAGCTCTATGGGATAATGTTTGATAACTCAATTCATATGTACAATATGAAATGATAAATTTCAAGGTAGTTAACTATGATCTATGACTTCATGTTTTTACCTTGTAGTTTGCATCTCCTAGTTATTTATAATATGTCTATCAAGTCTATGTATGCCATAAGACATCGTAGATTATTTTTTTTTCTGTGTTTTGAGACATGTTCTCTTTTCTCTCTCTTCTACTATACACCATTGCCTTTGAGAGTTGTTGGTCTAAAATTAAAATTGTTTTTTCCTTTAATCAATATTTTACACACTTAATACATTTAAAAAGATTCTGTGACTTTGCAATGAATAGTTGGTATACTAAGACATGGTTACAACAACAGACATTTGTTACTAAACTAAATAAATAGATGATAGGTAAGTAGGTAGATAGATAGATAGATAGATAGATAGATAGATAGACAGACAGACAGATAGAAGATCCAGAAATTATTTTCTAGTTCTGTCGCGCATCATCTAGGAAGTGTACTTCAGGGCAATCTAACATGTATAAACTGGGAGTGATAGCACATTTCTTAATATATATAATATATATTATAATTATATATATATATATAGTATATATTCAGTGGATTTTCTGCCACACTTTTACCACTCATTTTGTTCATCATGTATCAGTGAGTCAGAGCCATTTCATGTATTGATTAAATATGTAATCTAAATGATGAAGTAATTTTTATATTTACAAGTTTTGAAATACATAAAATTATGTTCATTAAACAGACCCAGCAGTAAGTCCTTTCTTTTGGTGATTGATAACTGCTTCAAGATACAAGATAGGCTTAAGAGTCGATCCCACTAAATCACCTTCTTCCTTTTTCCCTAGTAAGTTTGCAAAACTGTAGAGATAAGCACGGTGTGAATGATACTTTTTTCTCTATTTTTCAGTACATAGATTATTGCTCTTAACTATTTCATGAAAAAAAGACCCATAGTTTTACCCATTTTGTAATTTGTTGTTAATCTTTGATCTTAATTTTGATAGCTTTATGTTCTTTTTTGTGCTAGTTCTAGAACAGTCAGGAAGAAAGTTAGGGACTCTGAAGGAAACAAATGCTACTTTCTGGAGAGATAAGCTCAAAACAGCTGTCTATTTAATAAAAACATATAAGCATAGCCAACATATTCATTTATAAAGACATACCTGAATGATTAAACCATGTTATATTGATTTTTTTCTTGTCTGCATATTTTAAATTACAATAAATCATCATAAATCCCAGTGAGTAGATACATCTTTCCCAGGATGATGAGACTTCCTGGGAAGGAGGCACTTGTTGACCTATGGATATCTCTTGATCAGGACCAGAAATAAACACTGTTGGCCAACACATACAATATCTGAGTACAAAATATCTCAGAATCCTTCTTTGTGCTGTGTTACCTCTTTGGTATAGACAAAGAGAATCAGGCATACTATGACATTTGCAGTGTTGTAAAAGAACATACCATAAAGGTAATGTTGAATAGTTAAGACATTTATCATATATGTAACTCACCCATTATCATATCCAAAGTTGAGCACAAAAATGTTTTAGGAATAGATATTGAATTATTGAATAAGTAAATCAAGAAAAAATGAAAAAAAGAGTAGAGAAAAGTAGGCTAATTTATTACAGTAGGACAAGGAGGGAGGAGGGACGAAGAACAGTAAGACTTCTTTCTGGAAAAGCTCTAAAGAACCATGTTATTTCATATATTTCTAAAATTACATATAATACATATAAGTATATATAAATACTCCCATATATACATACATACACACACAACTTTGTTATGTCAGTGAGGCTGATAATATTCTCTATAAGAACCATCTAAAAAAAATAACTCCAGTACCTGATTAGAAAGTTCAGTTGAATTTTTGATCAGTGGAAACCAAGTAACTCTCAGAACAATACAGGTTATTTTGCTGTTGCCCTCCATTGCTGCCTAGATGTTAAAGGTAAGTTCCTCTTTCTGAAGACACCATATACTTCTGATACAGGACTCTGTCTG